TGATGGAAAAATCTCAATTATGAAGTGTAATAAATACAATGGAAAAATAATCAAAGAGTTACTTCTTTGTTTTCCGTTCCAGTGACCAAGTGAATGAATTTGCTATTATTTAGTTAAATATCATGTCCCTGAAATCTCATATTGTCTCACGGAAGACAACCAAAGAATATTCATGGACATCCAGGTCTGCTTTAGGCTACTTTACTTTTTTTGTCAAGGATAGGCATAGAAGGTGAGGGAAATCTTGATGAAAAAGTCCTAAGGCCTAGGACCTAGATTTGCAGCCCAAATCCACCATTATTTGGAGAGAACCAGAGCACCTGGCTTCCTTCCTGCCAAAGTTTCTCCGTCTACAAATGGACACAATGCCTGCTCTGGACAAACCATGGGCTGATGGAAACACACAAATGAAACAGTAGGTATTATATGGCTTTAAAGCTATGAAATGCTGCATGTCGTCCTACAATTATCACACGTTGTTAAGTGGATCATATAGCTCAACCATTTTGTAGTCAAAGAAACCGTTCCACGGGAGGAAATGACTTGCCCAAAGGCACAGGCTCAGGTCCAAGCTATGGAGTCTCAAGCCCAGAATTCTTTCCACTAAAGCAAAGCAGAGAATGGCCACCAAGAACCTTCACTCCAGTCAGTGTGCCCACTGCTCTTGGACACTCATCGCTTCCATGCCCTCCTCTCTGCTAGTCATTGGCTCATTCTATGGGCTTCTCAAATTATCTAGGACATGAGGTGAGATGAGAGGAGAGGAGATGAATGTGTGTGAGTTAAACTTCAGATGTGCGCAGAACAAAAGCAATAGCATGCATAAGCATACCGAATACCATGTCTACTATTCTGTCATCCTGCTGTACTCAGCAGGCTGTGGTCAATATGAGAAAAATGGAAGTGCCTAAATAAATTGGGAATCACTGCAAGTTCACATGGGACTTGAACAGTGGACTATACCACTTCACAGGCAGCTATATTTAAGAGTTGCAAATTATGTCATCAGTAAAGACATTAAATGCTTTAGAAAATACCCTTAACTTGATTTTATATCCTCCAAACCACTGCAGTTTCATTGATGACTCTACAGTTATCAAACTAGCTAATAGACTTCTGCACATCATTCCTATGCAATATAAATTTTCCTTACCTTGCATATGCTATGTCTTCTAGACACAATGCCCTCTACTCTCTTTCAAAACTGTCTCCTACTCATTTTAAGGTCTAACTGGTCTCCAGTAACCCCCAAGGGCTCATTCTGACAATTACAGCCCTTACATTTATGCTACTATATGAATAATTATAGGACTTTTGTTGGTATGTCATATTTTGCTGTTTAAAGATACTGTTTGGTATTGTTATTATGTCAGTTAGTGAGCTTTGCTGTAGCTCTTGCCTTTACAACACTATGTTAAGTCCTTGAAGAACAAAGTTTAAATTCACTGCCTTCCAATGTGCCTTAACATTCTTGGCATATAATTAGAGTTCAATCAGTATTTATTTCTTGAATGAACTAACAGTGATTAGTAATTTTCTCCTTTATATTCCTCCCTGCCTATTCTGTACACAGGGCCTATGGCAGTCTGACAGTCTCAAATTATGTAAATGAAGGCAACGAGAAATAAGTTGTCCACACAAGTTGCCAATGTGTACTGATTATAGAAAAATATAAGACCATGAATTGTTTTATTTTCTTATCCAGTCCTATCCCCTTTGTGGACAGTATTTCAATTGTATCCTCTCAACAATCCAGGGAAATGGGTTAAGCTAGAATCTTCATTTGCCATTTTACAGAAGAAGAAATTGAAATGTCAGTGTTTCTCTAAAGTCAGAGAACAAGACAAGGCCAGGTTAAAAAATGATTAGATCCTCTAATTCCCAACCTTAGGCTCCTCTTGGGTTTTGGAGCAATAAATAAGGCATGATAATATATGAAGAACGTATAACAAACAGGAAAGTGACAATTGCAAGGCATCTACTGGAAAAAGTGTATGGCAAAATGAAGTTATTCAATCAGATAGAAGATCCAGTAAGGGAAAAGGACTGGTACGGAAAGGACACAGGAGAATATATCTTTGTTGAGATTTTAAACTTTATAAAGAACAGTATTTCAGTAGGGAATAGGCCTGGCTGATTTACTGTTTCTGCATTACTTGAAGTTTCAAATTATAGATTTAAGCAAAATTCCAGTGAGGAAAAAAAAATCTCTCTTTCCTCTAATACTTAAGCATCTCTTGATAATGCTATGAGAACATGCTCTTGAATTAAACAAGTAAGGATCAAAGGAAGTTACCGAACATCTCAGAGAGATCCCATGCCAGCCTGAAGTTTTGTTTTCCTAGACTCTTTAATCTTTTTGTGTTTGATTCCTAAATGCACAGGAAGTAGATGTGCTCAGAACATTTTGTACTCTCAATTAGAGTTTTGTACCCATCATCACTTCCCAAAAGAGGCGCTCACAGAGATCCCAGCCTTTGCTAACTATTTATGCTTCTCCCTCTCGTGCCTCTCAGTTTCTTCTCAGCATGTCCTGTCTAATCCCCTGTGTTCCAGGTGTATTCTTCTACCTGAGCTCTGCTGTCAACCCTATCATCTATAACCTACTGTCTCGCCGCTTCCGGGCAGCGTTCCGGAATGTGATCTCTCCTCCCTGCAGAAGCTGCGGCTCCCAGGACCACTCACGAGGGCCCCCTGCCCAGCGGACCATCTTCCTCACCGAACGCCACCTGGTGGAGCTCACTGAAGAGCCAGGTCCCCAGCTTCCCTGCCAGTCATCCGTCTGCAACTCTCCCCTGTCCACAGCCCTCTGCACGGAGCAGACCCCGTGGAAGAGGCCATCGTCTTTCCTAGGACTAAATTCCTCACTGCCTCCTGCCTCCTCTCTAGCTCATGAAGCCAATGTGCCTGGCAAGGCACAGGGCCTATAGGGAGGGCAGTTTCCCCTCTAAGAAGATTTGGGCTGGGTCACCTGCACTCTGAGTCAGGCTGTCACTCTGACAACCGGTGGCCACTGTGAGCCCCAGGAGGAAGACACATCGGTGCTGGTCTGCTCTTTATGATTTGAGAAGTCCATGTCAGCACTCCTCTGTAGCCATCTATTTGCCCTACTGGCCCATATAACACAGCATGACTTCGTACAGTGTCCTGAAGCCTTTTATCTTAAGAGCTCCCCTGATAACATGGAAATGCTCCTTAGAATTATTGTCCCCACAACTCCAGTCTCCATTGTTAGTAGCAGTCACTATTCATCAGAAACCAGATCAGATATAAATTAAACTTAGAGAAGAAAAGAGAGAGGAAGTTGAGATGGTAAGTTGAATGAGATATAAATTACACCAAACAAACACTTGGCCATTTTCATAGTTAGATCCAGACCTGGTTTTCTAACACCTTATTTCCTATGTGGACAGAAGAGTGGTCTGTTGTCTTGGACGAAAGACAACTGAAATGGCAACTACTGGTCTGAAACTGCTGACTTTGCCTACCCAGTCCTTTATCTATCACCTATATAATGTTCTGCATGTATATAATATGAGCAAAATCTACTTCTCAGATTCATCTGCCATTATATCATCCCAAGTAAGGTGTATTCTATTCAACTACATCTACTTGTTCCTCTTACAAAGATACAGTCCATAGCTCTCCCTACCTGTATACCTCAGCACACAGAATGCCTTGTTTACGTCCAATTCCCATCTGTTTGTATCCAACCAATCTTGCAGTGTTCTTCTCCACGTGGTATCTCCTCCATTCAGACAGGCCTGGTTTATTCCAATAATTATCTTGACAATTTTTTTCTCTTAAGCTTTCCTCCGCTTCCCTTTCTGTTTCAGTGATTTATATTCTTGCTTTTCCAGAATGTAAATTTTTTGCAAAGGCAGGAGGAAGATCATGTTTATTCATTTGTTTGCTTATTTGTTACTGGAACCTTGGCATGCATTGATCACAGTTTGAAAAGTTCAATAAATAAGTGGGGAAGCAAGTTAGTGTCACATTCCAATGAATAAAGTAAACAACAGTTCTGGATAGAACCATCTCTAGAGCCAAAAGACGAACAATATGTTTCCATTAGGGATATCTGATTTACAGTAGGTCATTTAGTCATGTGATTATAATGGCATGCCTACTCTTTCTGGGAAGCAATGATAAAGCTACTGATGCTGAAACTTGCAAGCTCTATCCTTTAATTTCTAAATTTCTAAATTTTCTCTAAACTGAATGAAGAAAACCATTGATAAATAAGATTATTGGTATCTCCCAGCGTCATTTACTAATTTATTAGTCATAATCAAAATGACTCAATATCAAAAACAAAGCCTCTTTGTTAATTACAAACCAAATCTAATGAATTAGAATTCTCCTGTGATGGTTTACATCAGTGAAAATAATTCTCTAGTCATTTGAAAATTAAGTTGAAAAGCTTTCAGTTTTTCCATATTTAGTATGGTGTCGGCAGTAGGTTAATCACAAATGGCTTTTATCAGATTGAGATTAGGACCTTCTATGCCTGTTCTCTTCAGTGTTTTTATCATGAAAGGCTGTTGCAATTTTCAAAATGTAGTTGAGGGTTTATTTTGTTTATTCTTCCAAAGACCCAACTCTTCAACATGGATTCTTTGTATTGTTTTTTTTTTTAACCTCAAATTCACAGATTTCTGCTCTGATCTTTATAATTTCCTTCCTTGTACTAGCTTCAAGTTTGGATTGTTCTTGTTTTTCTAAGACCTTGAGATGCATCATTAGGTTATTGATTTGGGCTTTCTCTGTTTTGTGATGGGGACCCTCACAGCTACAAACTTCCCTCTTAGGAATGCTTTCCTCGTGTTATGTTATACTGGCATTGCTGTTTAGTTCTAGAAACTGTCTTCTTTCTTCTTTGTCTTATTTCTTCTGTAACCCACTGTTTATTTAGTAGGGCATTGCTTAGTTTCCATGTATTTGCATAATTTCTGTAAACATATTTTATTGGCTACTATGTGGTCTATTTTGGAGAAAGTTCCACGTGCTGCTGCAAAGAACGGGTATTCTGTTGTTGGGAAGGACACTCTGTACATGCATATTAAGTCCATTTTTCAAAGGTTTTGTCAACTCTTGTATGTCTTGGTTGATTTTTTGGTCTATTTATCTACTTGTGATAGTGGGATACTGGAGGTTCCCTGGTGTAATTGTGTTTATGTTTATCTGGTTTTTGTGTCCAATAGCACTTATTTTATGAAGTTGGACATGCCATAGTTTCACATATATATGTCAATAATTGTTATCGCTTTCTGTTGGATTGTTCCCTTAACCAATATGTAGTTTGTTAACAGCCTTCTCTTATTCAGTTTTGGCTTAAAGTCTACTTTGTCTGAATATAGGATAGGTACACCTAGGTTTTTTGGGTTCCCATTGCAGGGAATATTGCTTTCTGTCCCTTGACTTTTAATCTATGGGTTGAGTTTTGGATTAAATGTGTCCCTTGTAAACAGGATACTGTTAGACTTTGTTTCTTCATCCATTCTGCCAATCTATGTTTTTTCATTGGAGAATTGAGACTATTCACATTCAGAGTTATTACTGAGAGGTACTGACTTGAATTCCTGTCATTGCCTTATTTTCCTGTTGCTGAGACCCTTTCTTTACCTTCTACTTAACTGCTCTCCCTACTTGGGACATTCATTTGCATGGACATTTTGTCATTGTTAGCTTCGTGGTTTTTTCCTTGGGCATCATTCAGACATTTTTGGAGTGTTGGTTTGGTGGTCATGAATTCTCTAAGTGGTCTTTATCAGAAAAGTATCTTATTTTTCCATCAGTTTTGAAAGATAGTTTTCAGGTTATTATCATCCTGGGTTGGAAATTATTTCTTTTCAGGGTTTGAAACACTTCACTCCAAGTTCTCCTGGCCTTTAAGGTTTGTGTTGAGAAGTCTGTGGTAATTCAAAAAGGTTTTCCTTTAAAAGTGATTTGTTGATTTTCTCTAACCATTTTTAATATTCTGTTCTTTTATTGCACCTATGGCAGTTTTACTCTGATGTCATGCAAAAGTCCTTTTCTGATTGTGGTTATTTGGGGCTCCATATGCCTCAGTGATCTGAATGTTGAATTCTTTTACCTTATTGGGAAAATTTTCTGCTATTATTTCAGCATACGGGGGTTTTCTTTATGCAACTTGTGTTATCTTCTGATTTTTCACTAATTCCAATTAATCTTAGTTTCTTTACATCTTTTAGGAGTTGTATTTATTTTTCATATTTTCTTATTTTTAAGGTGTCTCTCTTTAAATGATCAGTGACAAGAGCCCTGTCTTCTGCTTCTGACACTGTCTTCACACGTGTCATTTCTACTGTCCATACTTTAGATAGAATTCTTAATGTCCTCAACTTCTATTTGGAGCCCTTTTATGTACTCTACTTCTTTTCTGTGTTTGTTTTTCATGTTTTGCATCTTTTTTTTTTTAGCTCTTCTAGCTTTTTATTAGTGTGTTCTACAGACCTCTTGTCTGCTTTGCTTATTTGACCCGATATCTTTTTATTCAAATCATCTGTGAGCTTGACTAATTCCTTATTGATCTGTTGTTTTTTTAACTTGCATGAGCTCATTTTGAATAATTTGAATGTGTGACTTTTGGCTTCCTTCCCTTCAACGTCCCAAGGATCAGTGTTGGAAGAGTTGGAAGTTTTGGAGGTATTTTGTCAACTTGTCTTCTTATGTTTCTATTTTTGTTTATGTTGAGACTGGCAGGTTAATTATCGTGAAAAGCTTTGTTTCTAGTATGGAGACCTCTTTAGTTAATGTCTACTTTTCAGTGGTGTCCTCTGGGTATGGCTATTGGCCTTCATCTCTGTCCCAGGACCCAACCACCTCCATCTACATGAAATGGGAGGCTGCATCACATATGGCCCAGTACCAAGCTTTCCAGGAATGGACCACATAATTTTTAATGACCCTAAGGCAATCCAGATATTAACATCCCACAGAAAACAGTCAAGACCAAGGGCCATGTCACGTTGGCTATAGCAATAAAACCAACACCAATTATAGCATCAAATACAAACTAAATACTGACAAACACTAAGCACCAATAAAGAACCATCCTTAACCATATGAGATGTGTAATTATATTACAGACATATGACATGCTGAATATCGAGCAGCAAAATACTTACTAAATAGAACAACTTTGCTTCTGCTAACAATAGAATGGAATTCAACAGCAGTACTATAAAGTTAACTGTCTAGAGATACATGAAGCTTAGTAGTTATACTACAAAACAAGATATACTAGTAAAAGTAGAGGGGTATAGAACCAGGTCATGAAAAAAGCAAAATTGGGAAAATTAATGCGATATGAGAACAGGAAACTGAGATAGACAGCTCTATTGAGATGTAAAAGGAAATCAACAGTGATAGAAGCACAGGGAAGATCGATCAAGAAAAATACTTATCAAGGGCCAGGGATGTAGCTCAGTGGTTTCAGTGCCTGCCTCGCAAGCGCAAGGTCCTGAGTTCGATCCCCAGTACTAAAAAAAAAAAAGAATACTAATGGAAGAGGAAAAATAAAAAGATAAGAAAATATTTCTTTATTGATATTTTGTTCCATTGATTTATCTTGTGCCAAAAGTAGAGTACTGAGATCACCCACTAAGGTTGTGTTGGAATTTATTTGATCCCTTAAGTTTAACAGAGGTTTGTTTTTTTTTTATGAAGATAGGTACTCCGGAATTAGTTATATAAAAATTTACAAGTGGTATCCCCTTTGTGGGAGCAGGGAGATCAAAGATATTTTATTTGGAATTTTGGCTTCTACAGTTAGTAGTTTATCTTTTATATCATTGAGTTCATTGGTATAATTTAAATATACATCATGATCATATTCATCATATGAAATCTGTACCTGTACATGACATATCTTGATTCTTATTTTTTCCTCATTCCCCTTTCCTCCCTTATACCCTTCTTCCCCTTCTAATTTATGAGCTTTGTTTCCATGTTATCTTTCTTTTCTCATTTTGTTTTTTTCCCCTTCCTTCCTTTCCCACTCCACCCTCCCTTGTGCCTCTTCATATTGGAACATTCTCTATTTCACAAGATCTATTATACATTTTAGACATTATTTACATTTTCAGTTTCTCACACCAGAGAAACGATGCAATATTTACACATGGGTGTCAAATTTATTTCACTTAAGATTATAGCATCCTCTAGTCTGTTCCTTTGATCCTCAGGTCTGTTCTTTTGCCAGTACCATACTGTTTTTATCACTGTAGCTTTGTAATATTATTTATTCATTCATTCATTTATTTTGAGTACCAGGGATCAAACTTAGGACCTTGTGCTTGCAAGGTGTGGTGCCACTGAACTAAATCTCCAGCCCTGTAGTATAATTTAAAGTCAGGGATTGTGATACTCCCTGCCTTGCCTTTGTTGCCCAGAATTGTCTTTGCTATTCTAGGTCTCTTCTGGTTCCAAATGAATTTTAGGATTGTTTGTTTTAATTCTGTGAGATATTCTGTTGGTATTTTTTTGGGGGGGGCGGGTTGGGTACTGGGGATCAAACTCATGTCCTGGCACTTGGAAGACAGGCAGGGGGACTACTGAGCTAAAGCCCCAGCCCCTGTCGGGATTTTGATTGTGATTGCATTAAATCTGTATAACAATTTTAGAAGTATGTCATTTTCATTATATTGGTTCTTCCTATCCAAGAACAAGGGATATCATTCCATTTTCTGATATCTTCTTTGAACTCCTTTTTCAGAGTACCATGGTTTTCAATGTATAGGTCTTTTACTTCCTTTGTTACATTGATTCTTACGTCTTTTTTTTTTTTTTGGATGCTATTGTGAAATGGATTGTTTTTCTAATTTCTCTCTCTGTGAGTTTGTTGTTTGTGTACAGGAATGCTATTGACTTTTCAGTGTTGAGTTTGTATCTAGCTACACCACTGAATTTGGTTATCAAATTTGAAAGTCTTTTGGTGGAGATTTTGGGGTCTTCTCTATAGAGTATCATGTCATCCTCAAATAATGATAATTTAACTTCTTCCTTTCCTATTCTTATTTCTTTTATTTCTTTCTTTTGACTAATTGTTCTGGCTA